GTCCAGGGGGATGTTGACATCGAATTGGCAGATGTGCATTGATTTTTGATGTTTTTGGAATGGGGAAACCATCTGAAAATGGTGGATGTTCCATGATTGTCATAGGTTTTTTCATTTTTTTTAAGTCATTTGGCTGCTCAGAAACAGCAGCAGTCCCCAGTGTGAGCACTGCAGCCGAGGCGTCCACTGGGCCGTTATTCAGTTCACTCCTGCAGTCACTCAGCAGCGAAGTGTTGGAAACCTGCAAACCTTATGGGGAAGACATCATCGAACTAGCATCTTGGAAATACTTTTGGGGATTTGTGCGGGGACTACGCCATATATTGAGAGAATCTCCCAGGTTGAGGAAAAAAAATCGAATGCGAGGAAAAAACCATCTCCAATCAAGCATGATTGGCTGGAGAACCGGCATTTTTGATTGTAACATCTTCCACAATACATCAAGATTCTTGAGCTTGCCATGTTAGATTACCAGCGGGTATATCGCATGTTGATCTTTGTTGGTCAGTTTTCCATCTTTTTCTTGGTGAGAGTTATCCAAACATGTGCTTGGGAAATCACCCTTTTGGTACGTAGAATCCCACTGTTTCACACACAGCATCCAGTCTTATAGAACGATAACTGGAGGGACTCCTCCCTAAGACGAATCTTTGCGGTAATCATATGCCTTCAAATTCACTCAATTTTTCATCCAGCATCACACAAACTTTTTTTTTTGTCAAACCCATATCAACACCATAGACTGAAAAACATTCGCGTCATTCACCAGCCATAGGAATTACCCATAACATCTCCTAAGATAGATATCAGATGAATTCAGATGATAGATTCACCATAGATATCCATATCCTATCAACATAGATATCCTATCCATAGATATCCAGGCCATGTCCAGGCCATAAAAAAACCAATCGATTTTACGCAACAGGCCATGGAGGTCATGCCGGTGAACTCCGCTGAGCGCATGTATGCCATCGTGGTGATCTTTTCGGGCTTAGTGACTCGCCTTGAACCGGAGATAGCTGTGAAATCATAGATCAATACTGATTAATCTATGAACATGTATGAAATTAAAAACTGATATTATAGAGGAGTATAGTATATATATATATATAGATAAATATAGATGAATATAGATGAATATAGATGAATACAGATGAATATAGATGAATATAGATGAAATCCTGTCACATTCCATCGAAATGTTGAAGCCAGTGCCAGTGAATTCTCGGGTCGTTCTCTGAGGTGATGTTCTCATCCTTCGTGAGCCCCTTGGTCGGATTCTGGCAGAAAAAAATGTAAAAATTAGGTGATCCAGTGATCCATCATGTTTTTTTCCTCTAAATACGTTGTTTTTTCACAACCAGAAAATGGCTGTAAGATGCCTTCAGGTCAGAATTCGGTGCTCCCAAAATTCAGTTTGCCACCTCCAGAGTCTTAAGAAAAAAATCTGCAGCCCAGTTGGTCTGTGGTTAAAAACCCAGCGAAAAATCGTGAAAAAACATCGCAAAAACATCGCTCGCACTTACAGCAAACATAGCCCATGGATTCCCATGGTATAAATATTGTATAAATCATGTAGAAATCGGATGACCCCAACGAACCCCAACATGTTCTTTTCCTCCATATCCCCAAATCACTAAGCTTGTAGCTTACCCCAGGCCGCAGGCTACCCCTGCCGGCCCTGCCCCGAGGCAGCATGACCAGCGCCATGAACCTCATTAACAAGCTGAACTTCGAGCAACGCCAGAAGAGCACCGCGCTGCGGCAGTACATCACGGAGAACCGCGTGACTCGACGCGACGTGGAACCAGAGTTCCCAACTGGGTTTCCTCGGGCGCGTTGGGTCAGACTCAGAAAGCCCTGGTATGACGAGTTTTACTTTAAAAAAGATGCAACGCAACATATTCCAGCCGGGAATGTAGCATAGCTATGGAAGATCACCATTTTTATTGGTCAATCATCTGCAAAGGGCAATTTTATATGTTAAGTTGCCAGAGAGCAATGGATAATGTTAGCCCACCATTGAAGGCATCGAGGGTTGTTTGTTCTTGGCAAATTTTCATGCCACCCTTCAACCACTTAATTGGAAAAAAACATCAATGCTCCTCAAAAAAATTAGCATCGAAACCGAACAACTGGGTTGACGCCTATTGGACCTGACTGGTGATTTTAACATTTCTGGAGGGAACAGCTATAGGAAAATCTCATGGGGATAGAAACACCATACCTTCCTGGTGGATTTAGGTCTCCTTGGAGCTGCTCTTCTGCATCCAGAACTACCAGAGGTACACCCGAGCATTGGAGCGCAAGAAACTGCACGAAAGTGATGTGGTCGCCTGGCAGATGTTCTTCTAACCGTCTCACCCTGTTTGGTGATTTTTCAGAAAGAGGAGGCCCACATTTAATGACATGAAATGGCCTTGAGATTGATGAAACATGATTCATGATGAAACTGTTGTCCAATGTGTCCAGATGTTTGTGTTTGGCTACAGATATGACAAGACGCCTTCGGCGCCCTGTTTCCTAAGGCTGCCTTCAAGAATCTCCCAGAGGATCGGGGGATCATTGCTCCATTCTGGATCTCCATGGGTCCATCGCTGCCAGGACTTGTTACAGCGGCTTCACTCAGAGGTCTATGGTCCGGCCTTGGGCTTGGTATGGCTGGAAAGTGGGTTGGAAAGTGGGCTGAACAGCTGACTGAACAGCTGAGTTGTTGTGGTGTGAGGTGATAGCTACACACCCGCTGTTTGGGCATTTGCAAGGGAACGAGGAGCTCCGACATCTCGCTGGTTTCGTTGCTGGTTTCGATCTCTTTCAAGCAATGATTCCTTGCTGATATCATTTTAGGCTCTTTATGGCTCCTCAAGCCTTTCTAAAATGATTCTTCCAACTGACACTGACCCAACTGACCACCAACCAGTCTCTAGACAAATCCCGGTGAGATCAACTCCGACCTTCCAGGATTCGACCATCAATGGCATTTGCCATTTAGCCATGTCTGAGGCTTGATGGCACTGCTGCATATCGTGTTACACATCTAACAAAACATGTGGATGATATGTATAATATGTTGGTGCACCAGCCACAAGGCATCAATCTTCAAATGAAGGTCACTGAAGTAGTAGATTGGGATGATGACATTCAAAGATGCTTCCATGACTTTCCATGGTGAAAAGCCGAGCAAAAATGGAGACTTTGCCCGTTACGCGCCCATCAGCTTAGGAATGCAGCTTAGTCATTGGCGAGGAGCTTTTCCGCTATGGAGTCACAGGTGCTGTCACTGAGTGGATGTGGTTCGAAAGGGGTATTCATCATGGTTCAAACATGGCTCAAACATGGATTTCTGTCAGTGTGTGTGTGTGTTTGGCCTGTAGTTTAAAGTTTTCTTTTTAAAACCCAACTGACTCCCAGTCTCCCAGTTGACTAAAACGTTTCGGGGTTGAGACAGCAAACCAGCAGTGTTGTTCTTTCGGTACGAGCTGTGAACTTGGGGCTGTTCTATCCACGGGTCACGACTGAATGAGCAAATGGCCCTCTAATGAGGGATCAAAATGGTTGCTGATAGTTTCTTTCTATCTTTCCTTTTTGGGCCAGTCATTTGACCCGTCGCCATTGACCAAAAGATGTACCCTCCCAAGAACAAGATCCCATGGTCCTGCCTCGTCGTGCTTCTTGGGAGCCCAGTTGCCAACTTCCATGGCGTTTTTTTTTTTGTTTCCCTCTTACTGCGTCAAACATCATGCACCAGCCAGAAAGGTATACCAAAGTTGGGGCAGGGGTTTCACCAAATAAGCCACGCAAAAAAAACGAAAAGTGAAATCCCATAGTGATGATTCACATAAATCTTAAGTCTGAATGACACATCACCCCCTAGAAGAGCTTGCAAGATCGATCTTGAACTTACCACCGGCCCTTGGCCCCATGGTTCGGCTTATCTGAGGTGCCAAGATGTACTTCATCAACTCAGGCAAGTTGGCCTATTTTTCGGGCTACAGCGAGAAGATGCCGAAGTTGATCTCAGCCGGGCGATGGATGTGTGAGCCTGTCTTGTGGCGCCTTGGTGAAGCCGGCGCTACATTGATCATCATTGATCTGGGGACTTAGCCCAAATACTAAGCCTTACTAAGCTGATCAGAACTGGAGGCTCTTGAAAATCAACATAAATCAACGTACTGCTGAGATTCTGATTCATAAAATCAACATAAATCAACCTAGCTCTTCGTTTTTGTTGCCGGTTTTGTGGGAATCCACTGGATGAGGTGCAAGTGGGAGCATCGAGGCCCGGATTCGCTTCTTGCAGCTATCGGATAACCGTGGGTTGAAAAAAGATGTCCCAAATCCAACCGTGAATCATGATTATATATTATATTAATTATATTATGTGTCATTAATATATATAATTATGTATATATATATATATCCCTAGATGATCCTAAATGGCCATAGCCGATATAGCTGTTTATTTTCAGCTCCATTTTCAGCCATCACAAAAATTGCAGCGCGAGATTCTCTATGTCTCGAGGCCGCCTCACGGTTGCCACGTCGCAATATCTACGTATGGCCATGGAGAGCCCGGATCAATCCATGGGTTGCCTTGGCTGCAGTGGGTCAGGACCGGGTAGAAAAACCATACCGTTAAACATGGGGGATTTCACCGGAAAACCAAGCCAGTGATGGGTGGTACAAAATGGTACAACCAGCAATATATATGGGTGTTTTTTTATTGCTTTATATATTAACATTACAAGTTGTAAGGGTTTATGAAAGGGTTTATGGAGGGTTTGTCAAGCATTAACAGTGAAAATCCCCAAGATCGAACATAGACATTCCAGTGGCTGGGTCTGTAAGCAATCGCGCTATGCCCAGCTAAGGTTCCTTGAGAGGAGAATTCATGGCGACTTGACTTACAACCTTCAAGTAGACTGCAAACATTTGCAAAGCAAACTCTTCAGATTTTTTTTCTGATACTCCCTTTCAAACTAACACAGCTATGGAAAATCACAATTTTAATAGCTGAACCAACTATGAGTGGGCAATTTTCCATAGCTATGTTAGTTTACCGGAGGGTATCTTCCTGATTTGGGGCTACATATACCACATTTTCAGACAAGGCGTTGGATGCAGCGGAGTTTCACGCCATCATTTTGCGATCACGCAGTCTCAGCTTCTTGGCGGTGTCAATGTTGCCTCGTTGCTGGATAGAGGGTATTTCATTGGCAAACATGGTGCTGAACCTAGAGCCTTCTATTTAAAAATATACCCTCTGGTTATGACTAACATAGCCATGGTATAGATGGCCCATAGAAATAGATGGTTTACCCATTAATAGCATGGTTGGATTTTCCATGGCTATGTTAGTCATAACCAGAGGGTAGATGATTAGAGGTCATTGCCCCATCTTCCATTGAGGATGGACATTCTCACCCAAGGTGATGCCCCCCAGGTTTTAGTTGGCTAAAAAAATGGCCCCATGGAAGCTCTCGTATACCATAGCTATACCTACCACAAACATCCATAGTCACCATAGTCCACTGCATAAAGATCTGGTGATAAGTTCAAACCTGTCAGCCAACTTCGCTATTTTCTTTTTCGGCCATAACCTTGCTAAATGATTCCAAAATCCATCATTTTATCCGTGGTTTTCTCCACAGATCTTGCGAGATGAACTCCTCCGACCAGGCTCGATGCAGTCCTATGCGCGCGTCTTCACTGCCATGGCCGTGCAGGACTGTGGTGGTGCAAATGAAGTGGACGACCTGTGCCTGGGTTCAATAGAGGGGAAAGTTGAAGGGGGAACACCAGAAATGGGTTTATATCTTATGTATACACACACACATATATATATATATAATATATACTACTGTAATTATATAATATTATATACATACGTGTATTTATATTATATATATATATAAGTATATATATATACATAAGTATAAATATGTATATATTTCTCTCCCTCTCTCTCTCTCTCTCCCTTTCTCAATTATACAGTTCATGTATGGGTTTCGTAATCCATTATGTAATCAGGTGCTATCAGATACGATCTGGTTTTACCAACCGAATCAGGGGGTCTTTCGCTGTTTGGTCTCAATTTGCCAGTAAAGACATTCTGGGAAAGATTCTGGAACGCCGGAAGCAAACAACCTCCTGTGATTGTGTTTCCGGTGAATTTTACGAGTTTTCCCGACAAAAAGAAGCTCTGGGATTGAACCGTTGCCCCGACAAAATAGCGCGCAGGTGGGGAAGCTATGAGCAAGTCTCAACCTGCCTGCGTAGGGCTTTCGGATTTGGAGAAGAGGCCTGGTAGATGGAGAAAGACATTTGATTTCTGAGAGGAGCTGCCTACAAATGGGTTGAAACCATCAATTCTTATGAGGATGCAACGGGGATACAATGGGGGGTATAAAGGGAACATAATGGGATATACAATCAGCCTTGTGATATGGCTGTGCCTGAAAATGGAGGATTCAACGCCCCAGTTACAGCCTTTTTTTACGGCGGAAAATGATGATTCATCAGGGGATTGAAGGATTTGCCAGCGGTCAATTGGCCAACCCCCAGTCAACGGTTGAACTCCCAGATTTGGGGACTACATGTTTTATGATTGTTTATGGCCCTTCAAGCAATTCCAAGGTCACGTACTTGTACCTCAGAAAACTCTGGCACGAAACTAAGAAAATGGTGATTTCATACTGTATTTTGCCAGCCTTGACAAACTACGATGGATAGAGGCATATGGCAGTGTGTCAAAACCTTGTACCCCTGTAGTTCACATCAAAATAGCTGGTAAATGGATGTTCATCCCACTAAAAATGGTATTAATAGGTATTGATCCATACCCATATGAAATCATATAATATATTCTAAACATTTTCTTTGGGGTTTCGTGCTTCTGTGTTTCGTGCGCGTCAGTGCCGAAGATTGCCGAAGGGCTCCGACTGGTGAGACCCCTCTTGTCCAGGCTGAAGCAGCGAGCAGGTTCAAGATGTTGCCGCCTGGCTGGCTATTCACAGAATTGGATGATGGGACAATTTGCAGGAAACTCCTATATTTGATGGCAAGAACCACGTAAAAACCATGGTTTCTGATTAAGATGTTCCCTTAAACCAATCCATTGAGCTATGGCTCAAACCCACCACCATTTTGGGTGGACGCTTCAGCACTGAAATCCGAAAAATCCGCAGCAAGCTGGGATGTGGGCGAAAATCAGTGGCGCCTTGCCTTGCAGATCGAATCAAATTCGCTGAGATCAACATCTTTTGCCGCAACTGGGGGGGTTATCATAGATCCAACTACACATTTATGATGCTTGATGGAAATTTGTGTCAGTTTCCATCCGGGAAATGAGGGAACCCATCGCCCCAGGAAACATTGCTTTGCTACCTGGAAGCAGGCAGCAAGGGAGGACGGCCCTCGCTGGCAGCACGTGGTCTGTTGTGGTGTGTATGGATCTGGTGGAAAGGATACAAGTCAATATCATTCAACATCCAACTTTAGCTGGCCGAGTGCAACATTCAACTTGTTTGGGTGTTTTACGGCACATTCAGATGGTACGGAACTATAATAGACAAAAGTGATTTCCTCACGTGTTCATGAGTTACCAATAGATAAATCGCTCCAAAGCTACTCCTTCATTGTTGTGAACGGGACATTGTTTTGAGCAATTATGAGCAGCTAAAGATATGATTACTAACCTCTCGTGATGACCAAGTGGGCGAACTTATCTAAGCCTCTAAGCCGATGAATTCTGTAGATCATCTTCCGAACGAGAAACTCTGGGCTTTTCCGACTTTTCCACATCTTTTTGTATGTTGATCCCAGGGTTCTAAGTGGTGGGTGAATTTCAAGAGTCATGTTCCACTGGCTAAAGACCAAGAGGATCCTCCCAGGAGCACGAGCGTCGCAAGAGGCGTATTTCTGGGCGCACGTCGATGCACCTTGGATCTGCGATCTGGGATGATTTTTATATATCTTTATGATCTTCGGACCGATGCCATGATTGCCATGGATGATTTTACCCCAAGCCATTGGTATAGATTGGCCGTAATTTTTACCCATGAAACCAGGCATTTTCCCCCTTAAAAAAACCTGACCAGTAACAGTTTTTTGATGAATTACAATCATAGTAGTAACGAGACGTAACGAGTATAAATATAGCACCCAGAAACCACCGGTTACTATAGTTTAGTACTGACCTCATCAGGCGGAATTGGATTCCGCATTTCACTGGGGAATCCCAAGGGATCCACCGATGGATTTTTATAGAACTGGATCTTGCAGTTGTTCAAATGGCACACTTTACATCTAAGGTGCAGATTCATATCGCAGATGACCAATCGAATGGTTAGTATCTGGATGTTCAACCGCCGTGATCGATCGATTTTTTTTATATTTTTTTGGGGTATGAAGAGTTCACTTCCAATGGGATGAGATGCCGGGATCGATGATGAATTCCCAGTTTCAGCTAGGACAATTACCAAGTTACTCACATGATATCCCTATGCCGATGCATATGCCATCCTATACTAACTTCTAGGATTCTTAGGATTTGCCACTTTTCTGAGATTTGGATGATGGGAAAATCTCCGCCAAAAATGGAGCTGCTTAAACCAGTCCATTGACGTTCAGGCGTCGCTGGCTTCATTTCTTCGCCCATGCTTGCATGCGTTGGCGTGACTCTACGAAGGTCTGAGGCACAAAGTTCTTGACCACAAAGAAATGTGGGTCCTTGTATGATTTCTTGGTCCTGGTGACTTGATAGATGATATAGGAAATACATACATTACTATACGGATACGCGTATTCAGTTGATGAGGTTAGTCATGATACGGCAGGATTGAGTAGAGCACCACAGCCACAGATCACATTCTGGTATTGTTTTACAATAATGGTGGACCGTGCAATGAAAAGTTGACGTTTCTTAGGAGAGAAAAGATCTTCGAGGCCCCGTTGAAGTGGGGTTGTAAACCCAGTAATGACTGGGGTTATAACGTTTGGCATCTTGCATGATTTTCTTGCATGATTTTTGGGCTTTTTTAGGGCACTTTATGGCATTTCCGTGCCAAAAAAAAAGAAGTCAAAAAGGTGATCCTTTCGACGTCTCAGCAGTTCCTGCCGTTCATTGCCCAAGCCCACTGGCCATTGATGGCCTGTCAGCAGCTGAATTCGCTGCAGCAGGGAGACAACGACTACTCCTCATATACCATCTGGTTATTTAACATAGCCATGGAAAATCACCATCTTTAATAGGTATATAAACCAGGTTAAACCATCTATAAATGGGCCATCTATACCATGGCTATGTTAGTCATAACCAGAGGGTACATTGTATGGACTAGCATGATCCATCTACACCCTTGTGCTGGGTGGTCAACCTGCTCTTTTTTTCTGGAAAAAAACCGCTCCAAGGGGACATTTCTGGAAGATCACCCCTGATAATTCAAAACTTTTTTTTCACACGTTGCTATACTTTGCTATGGAAAATCATCATTTTGAGTAAGTCCACCGTTTTCCATAGCAAACTCGGATAAACAACCAGAGGATATTGTTGCAGTGGAACTCGGATAAACATGATAAAACGAGGGGATCAAATCAACTCATCGGAGGATGATCTCACCAGACGAATTCGTTTTGAAAAACGCATGTTGGACCCCAAAATGGGGTGGTGAAATGTGGTCAACCCCGGGAACCCCCAAACCATACTGGTTAGTGGTTTGGAACATTTTTTTTCCATATATTGCGGATAATAATTCCAACTGACGAACTCATATTTTTCAGAGGGGTAGGTCAACCACCAACCAGCATACCTGCCATAGCCCTGCATGGACTTGGTGGAAAACATGGTGCGGCAAAAGATAGCTGCAGCTGCTCTGCAAAATTTCGTGCCGTCTGTCTCTGTGAATTCTGTCTATGTGTAGTTATGTGTGCCTGCGAGGAAGAAGATTTGGAACCAGAGGCGGGATGAAACTTCTGGCGTAGACTGCGCAGAAAAGCCCCTTGAGCCCCGGATTGCTGGCTTCAACTATTTCCATCCAAGAAAATCCCAGAAATGGGATGATGATACCCAGTGTCTTTCCTACATTTAAGAGGGGCGTGGCTCAACCATCAGATGTTAGCTGCTGATGTGTGCATAGAAAAACCGCTGTTTTTCCTTGCCGCAGCTGCTTCCTCTCATGGCATGACATGAAATCATGGTGGTTCATTGGCACGAAGCTGTAGTGCCTAGGCTGAACGGGTTGACCACCAAGTAGTTCCTGGTGTCTGTGGATACTGTGGATACTGTGGATTCCCTGATAGTGGCTTGCTTATGGTTGGTCCTCACCAACCATTTGAGGGGATGATGAGTGCCCCCAAAGACATGTCTCCAGCACGAACGATTAAGACTTGATTAAGATTGAACATAGTAACTTCTTGGGGTTTCGTTTCTTTCATGATGGGAACAAAACGCATACTACTTAGCATTGCAAAACGGTTTGTATTTTAAGCGGTTGCTTTGTTTTCTCCACCATCCTAACACACCAGTATGTTTAGGGCCTAAGTTTAGAGATGACAGATGTATATCACTGTATATGACCGTGTTTGTCGAGCCTCCGGCTGTCCCACTCGCCGTGGCCGTTTCGGTGTCCTGGTGTCCCTAGGCCACTGGCACTGGCAATGGAGGGCAGACCTCCCTGCTGCACTACTCGTTCAACCGGGAGATCTCCCCCATAGCCCGGGAGACCTCGCCAATGTCGGACCAACGCTCCGAGGAGTCGTTTGAGGAGCGAAGGGCGGGTGAGATGTTCTGTTCTATTCACGTTTTTGTTTGAGGTGATGTTTTGTTTAGTATATTAGAATATATTAGATGTGTATTATTCTATTCTATTATTCCATTCTATTCTATTCCATTCTACAGCCTGCAGTATTTCATTCTGTTTCATTCTCTTCTGTTCTGTTCTTTCTATTCTATTTCTTTTTTTTTTGGTCTTACTCAGATAGCAAGTACTGCACCCCCCAAAATGACAGAAAAGTAAAACATAGTAAAACCAAATCCTGAGATATTGGCAACATGTTTCTCAATTTTGTTTGACCCTTTTTTGGGATGAGTCAGATGGCCCACAGTCCTGACAGTCCGGTCGGTGAATGATGGGGAATGATGGGGAATGAATATCCATAACCAGCAGCTGCTGATGCTACTGGCCCATCAGGACTTTGTGATGAGGATGCCCACGCTCTCGCGAACAGAAGGCAGTGCTGGGCGAAAATTGGACTGTTCATCACCCCTCCACATCCTGAAACATAATATACAGTAGAGATTCAGCAAACTATGGGCACCCCTGGCATCTCGAAGTTCAGGATTTGCTAGGGCCTCCTAGGGCCTGTTAGGGCCTGCTGCAGGCATCCTACGAGTTGTTCCGCCAGCTTCAGTTCTCAAAAGATTTGGAGAGGCATGGCTACTGCTGGTTGTTTGTGAGAGAGCGCAACTCTTGAATCAAGGCAGATCAAGGCAGTTTACAGATCAGCATAGCTTGTTGCTTTGGGAAAAGATCCAGAGGGTGACTCAAACCTTTGACTTTGTCACAGCTTTGAAGCCAGCTACTTCCTATGCAGGTGTTTGGCAACAATGAGTCTTGGAAACAGGCACGGGGAAGCACGGAATGGGTTGGCTGGTTGCCACCCCCCAAAAAATATTCGATATCTTTGCCATTAACTGCAGGCAGCTCTTGCATGCTCTTGCCGTGGCATAAGTTTGGTATATCCTGGATAATGTGGTAAATCCAATGATAGACCACCACCAATATAATAGAGCTTTATTCTTGTGTATACGGTATACCGGGTAGACCCTATTTGGGATGATAAAATCACCCCCAGTCATGGTTGGTTAATTGGATGGTTTATGATTGGCTCTACCACATTAATCCCATCCCAGTAATATTCAACACATTTAAACAGGTCCAAACATGTGTAATTTTCCCACTAAACCATGGTTTCTGGGCGGTGTGTTTAATATTTTCACGGGGGAAGGGATTGCATCCCATGATATTCACCAAGAATCACCATTATTAACCACTATATTCCCATTCTTAACAATTATTCACCATTATTAACCAAAGTTATAGCCATATTAACCCTCAATTTTCCCTTTATTAACCAATAGATTCCCATGACCGGAAGGTTAGGACCTGCTGCTCCGGTCCCCTCCTCAGGTCGCATGGAAGGATACCACCCACGAGTCGCCTAGGCGAGCAAGTTGTTGCTGGGGTCAGTTTTCTGAAGATATGTTCACTTTCACACACACAGATATGGCAGTGTGTCAAAACCTTGTACCCCTGGTGAACATCAAAATAGCTGGTAAATGGATGTTCATCCCACTAAAAATGGTATTAATAGGTATTGACTCATAGCCATATATAATATATATATATATAAGTGTAGACACACACACAGAGAGATATTTATACACACATATATATATAATATATCTATATAATATAATATAATATAATAAGCATGCATACGTTAATACTGCATCTATTTCATCATAGGGAGAGTTGACAATCCAGACAAGCGCCGTAATGTTACACACATAGCAAGCCAATTTTGGTGAGTTAAAGCCGTCCAAGATCTCCACGATGATCACCTCAACTGAGGCCTCCTATACTTCGACCGATGTTGAGCTCCTCCAACATCGATCTGCATGCAGAGGCAGACAAAGTTTTTCAAACCTCCAAGCCTGCAAGCCGCCCCTTGTCACAGTATGTCACGGTGATTCCTCACATATCGGGCTGGTTGAGAGGGTAGCCAAGAAAATCAAGAAAATGAGCGGCTTGGAGGTTGAGATGCGGAGATTCCGGCTGGAAACAGTTGGAAACGACCTAGACTTGTACTGTCGGTGTTTTTTGTTGGCATTGCATGTCAGATTTGGGGTATGCATGCATGTGCATGTAGTGGTTCTGGAAACTGGAGTTTCTCCAGATTTCTGTCGGAACCCATTTTCTACTCTTTTTATGACAGACTTGCCATCATCACTGATGTTTCCCTCTGGTGGTTCCTACTCGGGTCTTCAGTTGCTGTCTTAGGAGTTGGCACCTTCATTAGCCACGTTTGGGCCTCGCGACGCTGGCGCAAACACCTGGCCCTGTGCTACTGCTTGACGCTTTGTCAATACCAGTTGACAGGTTCAAGCTGCAAACTGATTTAACCATCCTGCAATGGGGCTGTATAGCCAATATATGTCAACATCATGTTAAATTTATTTAAATTTTGCACACCCTCAAACGAAACCAGATTTAGCAGTCACAGTCAGTCGACCCCATTTGGAGGTCATGGAGAGTTATCTCTATACGGACTAGGGACGGCTTTTTCTTTGGTGGTTTCCAGTCTGGCTTTTGTGGCTTTTGCCTTCTCGGCTCCTTAGTTTCTTTTGTTTGTTGTTCTTGGCTTGGCTTATCATTGTTCTTTTGGCTTTTGTGTTTTCTTGGCAGTATGCTGCAACTATCGTGCCGACAACGAGTAAAACATCAATGAGAAATGATAAAACTTTATGATATATATATACAATAATTACAATATTGATAATTTATGGTTTACCAGTAGTACCCGCACCAGGCGGGGCGGAAGTTACCTTGGGGTTATAATGAGACCTTTCTCATCTATATATAGAACTTGCATGCGCCGTGCGCCAGCCAGGCCGTGCGTGCTTTGTGCTTTGTGCGAAGCTGTTGCACAGTTGTTGTCCAAGAACATGACCTGTGCGCGACCCCGGTGCAATGCAACTCCAAGCAAACTTTCTTCACACTTCACACGGCACTCTTCACACCCCGCACTTCACACTTCACACTCCACACTTCATCTCATCTCAAATCATGTGCGCTCTTCTCACCTCATCTCACCTCATATCATCTCATCACATCCCATCTCTTCTCACATATCATCTAATTAGACAAGTTCTTCTCAACTGGCTTTCATCTCATCCGAGCACTGGTCAACCTTTCACATCTCCTCAAAAATTTTCTCAACTCATCTCAGCTGTTTTGCACGCCAGAAAGCTCTTACTGTCAGAGAGAAGTCTCTTGCACAAAAAAACCATTGAGCGCAGAAAACTTTTGCACAAAGAAGCTTGAGACACAGATGCATTCACACAGAAAAGCCTTTACAAAATACTTTGTACTACAAAGCTTGCACAAAGCACTTCCCAGTACTACTTTGTACAAAGCTTGCACAAAGTACTCCCCACTACTACTTTCTACTACAAAGCTTGCACAAAGTACGCCCCAGTACTACTTTGTACTACAAAGCTTGCACAAACCACTTCCCAGTACTACTTTGTACTACAAAGCTTGCACAAAGCACTCCCCACTACTACTTTCTACTACAAAGCTTGCACAAAGTACTCCCCAGTACAACATACTACAAAGCTTGCACAAACCACTTCCCAGTACTACTTTGTACTGCAAAGCTTGCGCGAAGCACACTACTACTTTCTACTACAAAGCTTGCACAAAGTACTCCCCAGTACAACATACTACAAAGCTTGCACAAACCACTTCCCAGTACTACTTTGTACTGCAAAGCTTGCGCAAAGCACTTCCCAGTACTAGTTTGTATCGCAAAGCTTGCACACACGAGTACCGCTGCACATACGAGGTACCTTCCATCGCCGGCTGCAACAACTTTACACGGAAAAACGTACGGTTTCGTGCTCCGGCTTCCTCCCCAGCACAAGTCCCATGCAACATTCATGCAGCCATTACAATGTGTTTTGCAGCACCACGTACACACCAATGCAGCCATTACTGTACACTGCGATTTGCATCCCAGCGTCGCAGAACACCAAGGAGGAGCCGATTGACCTCGAAACGATCCAAACCGCAACCGCCACACACACACACAAGGTACCCTTCATCGCCGCCTGCAGCCACTTTACAAAGAAAAACTGCACGGTTTTGTGCTCCGGCTTCCAGACCAAAACCAGCCCCATGCAACAGTCATGCAGCCATTACAGTGTGTTTTGCAGCACCACGTACACATCCATGCACCAAGGGGGGAAACCGATTGACCTCGAAACGATCCAAACCGCAACCGCCGCAGACACAAGGTACCCTTCATCGCCGCCTGCAGCCACTTTACAAAGAAAAACTGCACGGTTTTGTGCTCCGGCTTCCAGACCAAAACCAGCCCCATGCAACAGTCATGCAGCCATTACAATGTGTTTCGCAGCATCACGTGTCTAACCCGCATGTCTTGACACACATGGCAACAAAACGTGACAACAATCATGCAGCCATTGCACGGCGATCTGCAAGCACAGATTGCAAAACACCCTGTAACTAGGCCGCACACATGCACAGCGACACGTTGCAGAACACCAAGGGAGAACCGATTCGCGCCCGGCACGACCGCAGCCGCGCCCGCCGCACACGCACGACGAGGTACCTTTCATCGCCGGCTGCAGCCACTTTACTACATGGAAAAATGCAAGGTTTCGCGCTCCGGCTTCACCTCCAACACAACACAAACCCCATGCAACAGTCATGCAGCCATTACAATGCGTTTTGTGGCATCACGTGTCTAACCTGCATGTCTCGGCACACATGGCAACAAAACGTGGCAACAATCATGCAGCCATTGCACGGCGATCTGCAAGCACAGATTGCAAAACACCCTATAAAACGATACGTTGCAGAACACCAAGGGAGAACCGATTCGCGCCCGGAACAACCGCAGCCGCACCCGAAAAACCACAAGGTTTCATGCCCCGGCTTCCTCCCCAACCCAAACCCCATGCAACATTCATGCAGCCATTACAGTCACCACTTTCCAAAGTCATCACTTCCCTTCGTCACCACTTCCGTTCGTCACCATTTCCCTTATAGTCACCACTTCCCATGTCACCACTTCCCTTCGTCACCACTTCCGTTCGTCGCCACTTCCCTAGGTCACCACTTCCCTAAGTCACCACTTCCCTTAGACACCACTTCCCAAAGTCATCATATTCCCTTCGTCACCACTTCCCTAGGTCACCACTTCCCTAGGTTACCACTTCCCTTCGTCACCACTTCCCTTCGTCACCATTTCCCTCGTCACCACCCTTCGTCATAGTCAGCACTTCCCTTGATGTATTGTTATGTTGTTATGTGATGTAAAGTCTCACGCCACCCTTCGTGATGTATTGTTATGTGATGTAAAGTCTCACACCACCCTTCGTGATGTATTGTTACGTGATGTAAAGTCTCATACCACCCTTCGTGATGTATTGTTATGTGATGTAAAGTCTCATACCACCCTTCGTGATGTATTGTTATGTGATGTAAAGTCTCATACCACCCTTCATGATGTATTGTTCTGCGATGTAAAGTCACTTGAATACTCGGAAGGTTGCTTCCCAACTTCCTGTGATAAGAAAGGAACGGTCCAACCCACCAATAGCATTTATAAAAACACTTTGATAACATCCAATGAAACCATTTACACCCAATACGCCCAACAGGGTTGTGCCCCAACCTACGTTCTATCCATATTTTGATGGCATTTATAAACACACCTTGTATCCCTGAATGCACCAACAATTTTTAGATACACCCTGAACCAACCCTAAGTACCTAAATAAACCTAGTACCCAAATAAACCCTAAACCAACACTAAATAACCCTAAATAAACCCTAAGGCAACCCGAAATAAACCCTACACCAAACCCCAAATATATATATATATATATATCCTAGCATCGAGTGAAACTTCTTCATCACGGTTGTGCCTCAACCTATATTCTGCATGTTCACCAGGTGCATGTTGTGCATTAGATCCACCGTGAGTATCAGATTCAACCGACATACTTACATGTGAGAGTAGGTATTGTCCTTCTGCTTTGGCAGGGAGGCGCTGAGCCCTCCCCAATCCCTCCCCTCTCCCTTTTTCATTAAAAACCAAGCTCGCCCACTTGCAAATTCGCTACTTTACATATAGATGTAATCATATGTGTAATCTATCAGTTTTACCTATTTATTTAGCTCTCTATATCTGTCTATCTATCTATCCATCCTTCCGTCCATCCATCCATCTATCCATCTATCCGGCTATCCAGCTATCTACCTATCTATCTATCTATCTGTTCTATTCTATTCTATTCTTTTCTGTTCTATGGTATTCTATTCTAATTCTATGTTTTTTCTAATTCTGATTCTAATCCTAATTCAAATTCGATGATTCTGATTCCAATCTTAATTTTAATTCGAATTTTGGTCTTAATCCTAATTCTAATTCTACGTCTACTTCTAGTGCATTCTATTCTATTCCTATTCCTATTCCTTTTCCTCTTCCTATTCTATTCTAATTCTATTCTAAATCTATTCTATCCTATCCTATTCAATCTTACCAATCTTATCCATCTGATCTATCTGATCTATCTGATCTATCTCATCGATCTCATTGATCTCATCGATTTCGTCTATCTCATCGATCTCGTCTATCTATCTTTTTCACGAAAGCCAGCCGCTAGGCTAGGCGAAGTTCTATATGCGAACAAAGTGAGTTAAGGGGGTCTGGGGGCAGAGCGCCCGAAATCGGATAAAAATGAGGAAAATAGGTGGTAAAAAAGGTGGACGCAGGTAAACTTTTTTAGGGTTATGTACCAGGTGGCAATTGGGTGACGTTGGGGTATCGATTCCCCCCTGGTCCGCCCTCCGAGGTGGATCTGGGCAGATTGCAATGGAGGGGAAAATGATGAGACAAATAATAGAAAAAATGAGGGAATATGACATAAAACAATGGGAAAGGAGGGGAAAATGATGAGAAAAACAATGGAAAAAAAGGAGTGACTTTGACATAAAACAATGGAAAAAAATGGGAAAGCAATGGAAAATTTGAGTAGAACGCTTGGAAAATTGATTAAAACGCGAGGAGAAACGGTGGAAAGAATAGGGAGATGGTAAAATGGCTCCGATGTGGGACCATTATCGCGTAAAGCACGCGTGAAACAATGGAAAAGCAATGGAAAAATTGCAGTTTCGATGTGTGACCACTATGGAGTAGAAGCACAGAAAAAAAACCATGGAGGAAACGAGCAAAACCGTTTATACGGTGCAACTGTAGGGATTGTGGAAGGTGCATTTGGGCAAGCGTTAGACACACTGGAGAAATCGAGTAACACCATG